AAGCCTGCCAACAATCAGTGGGGCCATGGGACATTTGAGGTACTAAAGGAGCACTCAACGAAGACAAGGCTGTTGCACAGAAGCTAAAGGAATTCTTCGAATGGGTCTTCACTGCAGAGGATATGAGGGAGATTCCTACACCTGAGCCATTCTTTTTAGGGGACAAATTTAATGAACTGTCCCAGATTGAGGTGTCAGTAGAGGAGGTTTGGGGACAAATTGATACATTAAATAATAGTAAGTCAGCGGAACCAGATAGTATTCACGTAAGAATTCTGAAGGAGCTCAAATATGAAATTGCAGAACTGTTAACTGTGGTATGTAACCTATTGCTTATATCAGCCTTTGTACCAGATGAATGGCAGATAGCTAACGTAACACCTATTTTTTTTTAAAAGGCTCCAAAAGCAATGCTGGTAATTACAGGCTGGTAGACTAACTTTGGTACCAAGTAAATTGATTGAAATTATAGTAAAAGACAGAATTATCAGAAACATAAATGACAATGATACATTGAGGGAGAGTCAACACAGCTTTTGTAAAGGGAAATCCTGTCTCACCCATCTATTAAAATACTTTGAGAGGGTCAACAAACATGTGGACAAAGGTGATCTAGTGGATATAGTGTACTTGGATTTTCAGAAAAACTTTGATAAGGTCCTTTACGAAAGGCTCTTAAGTAAAATAGGCAGTTGTGGAAAAAGAGGGAAGGTCCTCTCATGGATAAAAGGTAGGAAACAAAGGATAGAAATAAATGGTCAGTTTTCACAGTGGAGAGAGAAAAAAAGTGGGGTGCCCCAAAGATCTGTATTGGGATCAGTGCTGTTCAACATATTCAGAAGTGATCAGGAAAAAGGGGTAAACATTGAAGTGTCAAAAGTTTGCAGACAATACAAAATTATTGAAGATGTTAAGTCCAAAGCTGACTGTCCAAAGGGATCTCACAAAACTGGGCGACTGGGCAACAAAATGGCAGAGGAAATTCAGTGTTGACAAAAGCAAAGTAATGCACATTGGAAAACATAATCCTAACCAGACATACAAAATGATGGTGTCTAAATTAACTGCTAAAGCGATCTTACAGTCACTATAGATAGTTTTCTGAAAACATCTGTTCAATGTTCAGCGGCAGTTAAAAAAAACCTAACAGATTGTTAGGAACTATCAGTAAAGGAATAGATAATAAGGCAGAAAATATCATAAGGCCACTATTTAAATCCATAGTACGCCCACACCTTGAATACTACATGCAGTTCTGGTCATCCCATCACAAAAAAGTTATATTAGAATTGAAAAAAAAATATAAAGAAAGACAGGAAAAATGATTAGGGAACAGCTTCCATATGACGAGAAATTAAAAAAGACTGGGACTGTTCTGTTTAGAAAAGAGACGACTAAGAGGGGATCTGATAGAGGTCATGAAAATCATGACTGGTGTGGAGAAAGTGAATAAGGTAGTGTTATTTACCCCTTCACATAACACAAGTACCATGGTCACTCAATGAAATTATTAGGCAGCAGATTTTAAACAAACAGAAATACTTCTTCACACAATGCACAGTCAACCTGTGGAACTTGTTGCCAGAGCAGGCTGTGAAGGTCAAAAGTTCAACTGGTTTCAAAAAAGAATTAGCGGAGTTCATGGAGGGTAGGTCCAACAATGGCTATTAGCCAAGATGGTCAGGGATACAACCCCCACGCTATGGGTGTCTCTGCACTGCTGACTGCCAGATACTGGGACTGGATGAAAGGGGATGGATCACTCAATAATTGCCCTGTTCTGTTCATTCCCTCTGAAACATCTGGTGCCAGCCTCTGTCAGAAGACAGGATACCGAGCTAGATGCTTATTCTTATTCTCTTACGTTCTATTCTTTCCCAGGTGTAAGGCTGGTGGATCTTAACCACATGCTCAGGGTATACTGATCACTGTATTTAGGATTGGGAAGGAATTTCCCCCCAGGTCAAATTGTTTTCTTTTCTTCTTTTTTTATTTTGTTTTTCTTTCCTCTGCAATGTGGGACACAGGTCACTTGTTGGTTTGAACTAGAGTAAATGGTGGAGTCTTTGTAACTTGAAATCTTTAAATCAAGATTTGAGGACGTCAGTAACTCAGCCTGAGGTTATGGACCTTCTACAGGACTGGGTGGGTGAGGTTCTGTGGCCTAGATGTGCAGGAGATCAGACTGGATGACCATGATGGTCCCTTTTGGCATTAAAGTCTATGGATTTATAGTCACAAATCTACTTCTGTCTTATGAGAATAAGATAAGCAGTGACTTTGATCTTGAGGATGGAGCAGGGGATTGGAATTAGGGAACTGGGTTCCAACTTCAGCTCTAGCGCTAACTCACACCGTGACTGGAGTGAAATCCCTTCATCATTTGGGCCTGTGTTACACTCTTTGTAGTCTGGAGGTGAAAATGCCATTGTGAAGCAAAAAATTCTACTGACAAATAGTGCAATATTTGGTCAGACAAAAGTGGTATTAATATGATTATTGCTTTATTTCCCCTAATTGTGTTGTCTTCAAGATATACAATTTGCAAAAAGGACATTTCAATACACTTCCACGAAAGAAGGAAGCAGTTAGGGTGCTAACCTAGTGATCAGGAAACCAGGGTTGAATTCCCTGCTCTGCCAGAGACTATTTGTGTGACCTTGTGCAAGGCATGTAGTGTCTCTCTATGCCACAGCTCCCCGTAAGTAAAAGGGGTTAATAGCAATGTGCTCATGGTGATGTTGCGAGGATAAATATATTAAGGATTCTGAGTTGCTAAGATACTACAGTTATAGGGGACATATAAGTACCTGAGAGAGAGAGAGAACAGAATGAACTGAAATGCAGGCTTTAAAATACAGTATCTGTAATTTGGAGACCTCTTTCTCTATATTACAGCAACCAGGTCCATTTTTCCCCAGATCTCACAGAAGGGCTTGGAAAAGATGCACTTAATATAATTAGCACTTTGTTATAATTCAGGCTTTATTAAAGAACACGTTAACTATGCAATGTAAGTATTTAATGTCCCTGTTGTAGATCCATTTCATTGTGTTTTTATCATTGTAAATTAGTTCTATGAAAGATGAATTGGACACATTTTACATAAAATTGGGCCAGAAATGTTAGCATAATAAAATGTCTGAAAATTAATTTTGTTCTATTTAACAATGAATTCATATTGTTCAGAAATCGCTCAGTTTACTAATGAAGACTTTAATGGAAATAAACTTCAGTATATTTTGCTGGTTTTATGAAAGTCTGTTGACCCAAGAACCCATTCACACTGGATAGGTCATATCTTCCTTTTGTGAATCCATGACAATTGCTTATTGCTAGAGTTTACATTATTTTGCTCATGAAATGCCCTTTCTAAAGTTATGGTTAAAAACCTTTCATCTTGTATTGATTATGCAATAAATACAGAATTAAAATAACCACTTTCTGATCCTCTTGTGTTTCCTTGACTAAGAACTATACAAAGATTTTCTATGGAATCGCACTATGGTGAGAGGATGACCACCCCAACATCTTCAAAGGCATAGAGGGCCAAATTCTCACTCTCTTGGAACACAGGACTAGAAGTGACCACGTGGGTCATGAAGTCCTGTCACTTGCTAACACAAGCAGCCCATCCTATCATCCCATTTATAAATGTATCCAACTCCATCTTAAACCATTTAGGCTGTTTGTTCCCCACTACTCTTGTTGGAAGGCTGTTCCAGAACTTCACACTGATAGCTAGAAACCTTCTAATTTTCAACCTAAATTTATTCCTGGCTAATTTTTACCCATCTGTTCTTGTGCCAACATTGTCCTTAAACTTCAATAACTGTTCTCATTCCCTTGTTTTTGCCCCTTTGATGTATTTATAGACAGCAATCATATCCCCTCTCAGCCTTTGTTTTGCTAGGCTAACCAAGCCAAGTTCTGTTTGTCTCCTCTCATGAAATAAGCTCTCTAGTCCCAATCATCCCCTTTCTCTGGGTTTATCCAAATACAAGACAGAGAGGTGTTTAGGGGATGTATGCTGATTAGGACTAAGTGGCAGGGTATATAATATTATGTGCAGATCATGCGCCCAAACACTAAATCCTCCTTTGAAATGCCCCTCCACAGGTCAAAGCAAGGGTAAATTTCACCAGTTCTGAGAAGACAAAGTTTGTTTCCTAGCCTCCTCTAGTTTTGATCATATACTGAAAGATGTACAGTCAGAATCTGGGATTCAATCCTTAATCTCCAATGAAGGGACATAGAAAGCAGAGCTACTAACAATTCACCTTTCCCGGTTTCATTCATGGGGCCACACTGTCCAATTGGAACAATAAAATAATAATAAATTATAATGCATATATCAATATATTTTGTTAGCTTGCTTTATAGCCTGATTTATATATCAAGAATTAACAATCATGCTACCATGATAAAGGATTCACTATGTTGCAGCAACAAATCTGATTGCTTCACTCTAACATTACAGTTATAATTGTCTGTTGCTACATGTGTTTGAATTGCTCATTGGTTATTTGTCACAATTGGCAGTATCCTGGTGAGTACAAAGCCTAGATCAACTACTGTGGTCAATAAGTATGTGAGTGAGAACAGGAGTGGAAAGAGTTTCTGATTCTGCACATAGTCCTTCTATGAAATAACTATGACATTTTATTACTTTTTAAATGATATACTCATGAATTGTCAGTCATTCCAAAGTACTTTCACTGAAACATTGTTAATTCGGAGGTTTTCTTAGACCTTTGGAGAGAGGACATGAGGTTTTGAAATTAGCCTTATTATTTGGATTTATTTTTTCTGTACTTTTTTCAACATGTCAGTGTGTATTTTTTATTGTTTTGTTTTGAAACATGAACTTTATTCACTAACAAGCAGATCCACCCACACAGAGAGAGCACAGATGCTCTTCTAAATTACAGTCTTGAAAATATAGATTTAAACTGGTTAGGAATTTAATGTGTTAGCGAGCTTAGTTAGAGTAAGCTTACCAGTTTCGGAGAGCAATTTTGTAGCTTCCAGTACCTTCTCGGTATAAACTCCAGCTTCATAGTTTTCCATCTCTGCATTGATGATGTGAATGACTCTGGCTGCACGACCACGGATTGCACCTGCAGTTCTGTCCAGTGTATCAACATCCCCCTCTTGGAGGGCGATCACACATTTATTCACATCCTCCAGAATATGGTTTTCTGCAGAAAGAACACACATAATTTTCAGTTCATAGCTAGGCTTATATGAGTATACTGCAACTGTTGAGTCATAAAGAATAACTTGTCTGTTCTGAGTACTTTAGAATCATGGAATCATAGAATCATAGAAATATAGGGTTGGAAGGAACCTCAAGAGGTCATCTAGTCCAGTTCCCTGAGCTGAGGCACAGTAAACCTAGCCCATCCCTGACAGGTGTTTGTCCAACCTGTTCTTAAAAACTCCCATTGATGGGAATGCCACAGTCTTCCTTGGAAGCCTATTCCAGAGCTTAACTATCTTTATAGCTAGAAAGATTTTTTTCCCTAATATCTAACCTAAATCTCCCCTCCTGCAGATTAAACTGATTACTACTTGTCCTACTTCCAGTGGACACGGAAAATAATTGATTGCCATCCTCTTTATAACAGCCCTTAACACATTTGAAGACTGTTATCAGGTCCCCATTCAGTCTTCTGTTCTCAAGACTAAACATGGCGAGTTTTTTTTAATCTTTCCTCATAGGTCAGGTTTTCTAATCCTTTTACCATTTTTGTTGCTCTTCTCTGGATTTTCTACAATTTGTCCACATTTCTTAAAGTGTCTTGCCTAAAACTGGACACAATCCTCTAGCTGAAGACTCACCAATGCTTAGTACAGTAGGACAATTACCTCCCACGTCTTATTTACAACACTCCTGTTAATACACCCCAAAAACAATAATCGCCTTTTTCGCAACTGCGTCACATTGTTAACTCATATTCAATTTGTCATTCACTACAACCGCATATCCTTTTTAGCAATACTACTTCCTAGCTAGCTATTATTCCTCATTATATAGTTGTGCATTTGCTTTTTCCTTCCCAAGTGTAGTAATTTGCACTTTTCATAATTGAATTTCATCTTGATTTCAGATCAATTCTCCAATTTATCGAGGCCATTTTGAATTATAATAATCTCCTCCAAAGGGCTTGTAACCCCTCCCAGCTTGGTATCATTTGTAGATTTTATAAGCATACTCTCCACTCCATTGTCCAAGCCATTAATGAAAATATTAAATAGTAGCAGACTCAGGACAGGCCTCTGAGGGACCCCACTAGATATATCCTTCCACTTTGGCAACAAACCATTAAAAGCTACTCTTTGAGTAAGGTTTTTCAACCAATTGTGCACCCACCTTATTGTAATTTCATCTACACCACATTTCCCTAGTTTGTTTCTGAGAATGTCATGTAGGACTGTGTCATATGTGACTAAAACACAACAGCTTACAATATTATTACCACTGTACTTTAGGCCGTTTCTGGGGGATACTGTAGTCTCTTAATAAGGGTACATAATAAGTTATGGTGCTTTACATCCCAGGTCACTGTTTTGAATCTGAACCTAGGTCAGTACTGATCAAAATTAATTTCTGTCCAATGTCTGTTTGGTGACTTATCCTGTGTTAAATAGGTTGATTAGATCTTCTCACCACAAAATTCACCTACTTAACTAGCTTTACTTGGCACCATTATTCAGAGTCTCAGCAGAGTGGACAAACCAGTGAACTTACTTACCATTGTGAACTTAACTACCCTTCTCACACTACACATTGTCACTCCAGAACAATCTTGAGGCACAGACGGATCCAAGAATTATTTTAAGGGTAAGTACAGCTCTTGGGATTTCCAGGGTTGTAAATCTGGCACTTTTCTCAAACACTGAAATTCACTTCAAATATCAACTCTTAAATTAAATAACTTTTAAGAGTTACTAAAATAACAATAAATAAAACTGGAGTATAATATGGCCATACATTCTATATATGCATTGACAAGAAGTCAATATTTGGAAGATTAGTCTGTTTACTACTGAAAATATTTAGGGTGTGAGTCTCAAAGGCATGTAATGGAATTAGGCACCCAATTGCTATTGAAAGTCAATGAGAGTTTGGAGCCTGTTAGTTAGGTTTACATCACGGGTAAAATTCACTCTTGTGAAGAAAGTTTGCACATGCTCAGTCACCAGGCTGTGATAGTAGCATGACATCTGAGAGCATGGCCAGTCCAACGTCCTGACCCCTAACCTGCATCTTCACAAGAGACTCTGTAGACAAGGCACTTTAGTAGGTAACTTTCTGGTGGCTGGGGAGCACAGGAGATTGATTCTTGGCACAATTAAGTCAATAAGAATTTTGTCATGAGTGCAATGGAGTCAGAATTTCACCCCAGAACTCTTTGCCATGGACACAGGGGTCGGGGTTCCATTTCCACTTGCTGTCTCTCATCATTTTGTAAAATAATCTTTTTCTACCTTTGTAAGTACTATTGTGTATCCTCTCTACCACCTCTCACCCAGGAGTCTTATTAGACGGGCAGTAGAGTGTCTTGAGAAATAATCCAGGGGAGTGAGAGATTTTTCAGGGGTTCCTCTCCATACCTGTGCAAATGGAATCAGCAGTGGAAGAGTAGAGGCAGCAAGAGCTGGTTTGTGTGTCCCTCACTGCATTCAGAACCAGGAGAAGTGAGGGACTCCATGCAGAGAGCAGGAAGTGGAGGAGTAAACAGTTCATCTGCTTCCCACCAGACCAGGAACAGAAGTGGGAAGCTTTTATAGCAGGGAACATGCTCTTAAGTGTCAGTGATTGTGCGTATCATTATACTATACTAATGAACATATGGCAAGATCAGCTGATGTACATTATTGTAGCTCTATTGAAAGTAAAGGAGATACACCAATTTACACAAGCTGGCCGCCAGGTTTTATACACTGCAGTATATAATGCGCGCCTTACACAGCACTGTCATGTGTTGAATCAACACAGTTCAAAAAGGCATTTCAACAATAAAAGTGATATCTGAATTTTACATTTGGCTAATCTCAGGCAAATCTGACGTGCAACTTCCTTTTCTGCCAGTACCACCACAAATGAGCTGGAGATAAAATGATGTACCTTGTAGTAAGATGCCATGATCAATAAACCAAGGTTGATCATTTAACCAATTGCTTTTTTTTAGCCATTCCAGGGTTACAAAAATAGACTAAAATTGTCATGTGCCTTGCCAAAGATCCCAGGGTTCACTCATTTAAATTTTCCAGGAAAGTTAACAATGTTGCATTTCAAATTATAACATTTCTGAATGAGAACTGAAATTCTCCAGTGTTGTGAACAAAGGTCATTTCAAAGGGAAAATTCTCTTTAAAAAAAGTACATGAATACATATAAAAAATGTTACTCTGCTAAAAGATTTTTTTTAAACCCATTTTGCTTAGCACAGCATGCCCACATTTTGCCTGAAGTGAAACACTTTCAGAAATACGAATGGACAATGTATTTGAAATGTAAAGCGTTTGATTAAAATTAATCTCAGCCTCCTTCTGTAGCCACTGCACCGATAAAAATGTGCCATCAGTTGTGGCATGGGGTAATAAGCGGGGAGGGGTCACTTTGTCAGAAATTCTTAACCAGTCACCAACCGGTTTTTAATACTTTAATGGTTTAACAACTAAAAATAAGCGATTGCTTCTTTGTGTGAATTTCTGATTGAAGCCAAGACTTCAGAGCTGACTGCTAATAGAGCAGAGTTCTCTAAACAGGGTGGGATAGTACATCATTTTTAAACAGATAAGAAAATAAAATATTGAAAAGATAGACCTGAACTGAAACCCCAGATTTGACCCACCTTGGAAAAATTTGGATCTGGTTCCAAGTTTTGTAACTCAAGCTTATCCCCAATAAATATATTACGAGAATAAACTGATTTCTGAAAAACAGAGTCAGTACAAATTACCCCGGGGAAGAACGTGCAATTTATGGATGCAAGTGCTTTGCTTTGAACAGTAGAACAAAAATAAATAATCAAATAGCAGCTTCTCAGCTTGTGGACTGTATCTACGGACCACAGGCTTGGTCCGTCCATTATTTGTAGAGCTAGGTCTGCTCAAAGGTGCTTGCCAGCACCAATTGTCAAATCAAAATCTATGCTCTCCCACGTTCTGCAGCGCCCAGTTTTCTGACAGTCAATTTTCATTTCCTTGTCATGGCTTGTTGTAAGCACTCTGTATTGGGGTTGAATCGTGGAGTGTAATCAGGCTCAATCGCACCATTTCCTTGTTACCAGGAATAACATGATGCAACCAAACAGAAAAAAAAATGAAAATGAAGGAATCCTTTCTAGGGATGAATAAGCCACCCTTCCCCTCCCCCCCCACACACTCTATTTAAAAATAGTATTTTTGAAATGTGCACTTTAGATTATAACTTCACACACTGATTGAATTATGAAACCATTCTACTTATTTCCAGTTTGAATCTGGGTTTATTTTTAAAAGCATATGCCTCAGGAAAGAAAAGTATATATTCAAAATCTTTCCTAATATGATGTTAAGATCCAATAATGCCTCATCTGCCAAAATTCACAAAGAATAGAGAGCAAATGCATAATAGAAATAGGGATTTTCCTGTTACTTGGAAACAAGAACTGTTTACATTATTTCATGTAAAATGTGCCTCTTCTTTTTTCTAAGATAGCTGTTATTACCTTTTTATACACAAAAGAAGTATAACTGGATTCTGCACAGTTGACACAAGTTGTAGCAAGTAAAAACTTATCCCTTTCCTAGGATTTGGTATTATTCATGAAAGAATCTCAAAGAAGACCACCACAGAATTCAGCCCATGCTGTTTCCCAAGGCTTGGCTGCTCTCAGAGATCCTCTCAAAGGATTGCTCAGCCCGTACTCTATGTCCTTTTCTCATAACGGCCAATTCCACCTACCTTATATCTTGCTAGGATAACAAGCTACCTGCAACAGTGAGTCAAACACACAAACAGACCACTTTTTGCAGCAGGATCACTAGCTGCTTATAGCTAGATTGTAACTTTACATTCTGCCATATGGAGTAGTGTGTATTTACACCTCCCCAGAAGCAGCAGAGAGAAAAGATTGTGAACCAGAGAGTCCAAATCCCTTTCCCTTTCCTTCCTGTATTTGGGTGAGGGGTAAGTTACTTTACCTCTTTTTGTGGAACAGCTTGCTCTCTACTGTGTTCCTGGCCAGCTATTCTGGTGGGTGAGCAAAGGGGTGAAGGGCCACATCAGGTATCCTTCAATTTACACTTCATTCTTTCCCCTTCCCACCCATTTGCTTACAGTCTGAGAAGGACTATGAAATAGAATAAGGCATCCTTTCTCTCCCTCTTGGGTAAGGGCTGTGACAATCAAGAATAACATTTGCAAACACTGGCGGCAGCCTGTTACAAGACATTAATAAATGTAAAAAGAGTGGTCCAAATTCTTCTGTACTTATTGGCAATACAGTCAGGTCCAGCCAAAACTCTAGGCATGAACACCTCTGAAGTTTGAACTTGAAATCCAAACCCAGACCTGGATTCAAATTTTGCCTGTGATCCATATCTTTATAATGAGCTCAAACAAACCCTGAAGTCTGGGAGGCTTGGAATCTGGAACCAACTCAGAATTCTGTGGCTTGAAGCTGTCTCTGCTAATTACAGCAAAGACAGAAATCCTGCACTGTGGGGAAATGGATTTGATAATCTAATAGGTCTTTTCCAGGCTCAGTCCTCCCCTACATTTGAGCTCTGCTAGGTGCAGGTTAGGGAAGTGCATCAGAAAGCCAATTATAACTCCATAATTCACTGGTTGCCTGGTCCTTATATTAGTTAGAACAACTAGTGTGTGCACCGGAGTAACTGGCACAGGAGTTACCTCTGCCAGGTTTACACCAGTGAAGAATTTTCCTCCACAAGGAAAATCTCTGCTGAATATTTCTGCCCAGAATCCATCCATTTTGTACCACCTGAGTGGAACAAAGTGAATGGACAGCACCAGAGAACCTGGGTCTCCATCTCTTAACTTCTTTGATTCCATGAAGTTGCTTTGCCATTTATTGCAGCACGCAGAGAAACAATAAAGGCCAGATTTTCAGCCAGGCTCCTGCCCAGCCTCTCTTTCTATTGGGGCAACACCTTCAACTCATTTTGGCTGCATATGTTAGCCACCGGAAACTAAAAGATGCAAATTAGGTAGATAGGTAGCTGTCCAACTACGAATACATGCACTAGCAATGAATTTTGTCCATAAGAAGGGGAAAACTGGTGCTAAAAATTTATACTTGTTTTACCGGCAATTGTTTTAGCCCCATCAGGATTTGAAATTCAAAACATCTCCCAAAAGACAGAAACACATGTACAATGACCAGTTATTAGGGATTAATTGGCAGGACTTGATCTCTCCCACTGAGTTCAGCAAGCCAGCATTCTAAGTGGCTGGAAGAACGGACTAATAACTTGGCTGTAATTCTAGCTGTCTTTCTAATGTGACCATTACTTTAATTTATTGGTTTATTTTTAGGCGGCTCCTTTGATCCCCGTACCTGAGACAGAGAGGAAGTCGTCCACAGAAGTGATGTCATCAACTGCCTCAGTGAGAACTCTCACTTGTTTCTCCCACTGATCTTTAAAGACGTCCATGTTGTCCTGAGCTACTTTGCTCTGGGGTCTGGCAGCCAACGTGAGTGCAGCATTTATTACCTATTATTTAGAATAAGTTGTTACAAGAAATGACAAAACTTTGCTCAAGGGAAAGAACAAATTGATTAAATACTACGTTAAAAGCACAGCTGTGCACTGTGCTCATTTTGTTCATTAAGCAAGTCTCACAATACAAATGTATTTTTCACAGTTTTTGCAAGGCAATCAACAATATAATGAAAAAGGCAAGGCTATAATCTTCATATGGGACATTTTTCTCTGTCAAATACCTTATGCTCTTTAATGCTTTAACAGTTCTTGAGTACTTTGCAGCAAGAATGTTGCCTACCTGTGGGCATAGACTATCAATCTGGGTTGCTGCCATACGGACTAACTTCACACCTTCTTCGTTATTGGAGATAGAACAGGCCAGATTGGCAACCTGAAATGAAAACAGCAGACTGAGAATCAGGTTTTCAGGCAAATGCTACATTTTGTATCTTTTTTAATATTATTACTGAACCTTGCTTAGACTGAGGGAATCATATTAGAAGCATCAAACTGCATCATTTATGCCACTGAGCAGAAACCCATGCAGATCGTTTCCTCCCTCGCAAAGTAACCTGCAGCCATCCACAGTATTAAGATATTTCACAAAATTTTCCTTCACAGCCAAGTGCTCTGCACCTCTCCGTAGTTCGTACATGACACTTCCTGTAAGATTTCTCGGGAGATTGTTAACGTTTCAAAACAATGATCGAGCGGTTTCTTTCTCTCTCCATGTTTGTTATGAATAACAATGTTCAGGCTCTGTCATATCCTGATAGTCATGCCACACTGAAGAGATTCAGAGGTCCTAACAGGCACAGCTCAGCTTGGCTAACCACAGCCAACATTCTGATACCAGTACTCACACACAGAAGTTCCCTACTGCTTGAGTACTCCTTTCAATCTCAGATTCTGATGCCCTTACTCATATTGAGAAGTACCTTATTTCTCAAGTACTCCCATTTATTTCAATGGGGCTGCATGCAGTGTAAGGTACCATTCAGTGAGGATATCAGAATCTGATGTCATGGAATGTAATCGTTAAAAACGACATTAAGGAGGACATGATATCCAGATCTCATTTAGAGGTATGTATCTTTCCATGTGCTGTGGAGCACTGGTTCAGGAAGGGGGCTGGTTAGAGCCATTATAATGCTGAGGGTGTTTGGAGCAGGAGTAGGCTGGGAAGAGTTATGGAGACGTGCATGCAGACCTACCAGTCAAATCTTGCCCTTAACCACTAGAAGGGCTGGAGCTCTATAGCCTGGATGTGAATGGGGGAATCAAGTCTCCTAACTGCTACAGAACATCCATGCAAAAAAATTCATTTTCAAAGGCTTTGTGTCACAGAGGGGAGTTTGATCTAACTTGTTAAAATAGCAATTCATGCCAGAGTACAAAAAACTAAACAATGTTGCACGTGTACTGTTTAGAAATATGAGTATTTTTTTAAGAACAGTAAAGAACTTTTCTTTTAATTTCACCAGGAAGTATGGCTCTGAATTCTAAGCTACATCAAAACACACATACATTTTTAAAGATGCTGTCTTGGTATTATTCATTGTGCCTGAAGGCAGAACTATCAGTTGGAAATGATTCATGAATTAGTTCTAATACCCCAGTCTTTCCAATTTTCCTTTAGTCTCCCCTTGTGGTATTAATCTGTTCCTGTCTCCAGTGCACATCACCATATTTAGCCTTGATCCATCTGTTCTCCACAGAACCCATTTCATTTCACAGTTATTTAGAATGTGGTTTGCATGTATCGCTGTGTCAAAATCCATGGAAGGAAACCACCCTAGGCTTCAAAGAGTCTTCTAGGCACTTCCCAGGCAAGATTTTATTATAACACAGTGATTGTTATTTTCATTCCATGGTGAGACAAACGAGTTAGTCTGTTTATTAACACCCTTACAGCACTCATATCAGAAATGTTCTCCTAAGCTGACATACTCCAACTAATTTGCTGTTTTCTGTAGTCACATTTTTTTGCATACATCTAGCAGTACCCTTTAATCTTCATTGGAAATAAAAACTATACCAAATAGTAATTGGAATGCAGTAGGTGAGTTGATAAAATGTATAGGAGGATTACAGACTTAAATACCAGCAAACAATGTTACATTCAGCATAAACCAGGGTCCTCATATTATAAAATAAGTCATCTTTTAGATTTTCTTTTCTTTTTATGATGATCAAGATGAAAGAATTGTCCTGAGGCCCAAAATGTACTATACATCTTTCTTTCTCTCAGGTATGAGCGATATGGAATTGAAAGTCACTTTAATAGGACCATAATAGGTCTCTTGAAATGGCAATAAAACTATCAAGCTGGCATGATCTCTCCAATTCTACTGGGAACAGACTCTTCTCATTGCACTGACATTGAAATAAAATGTGCTTCTTCTTTCTCTGTATTAATCGCTCTCTTGGTTCCTTCTGGTGAGGATAATATTTGGAAACTACTTTGTAAGGGTCTGTATCGAGTCATCCTGGGACAATTTTTTTTTTTGTAAAATCCAACATACATAATATGGGGAACAGAATGTAGAGTCTGGTATAAAGATCAATACAATAAAGAATCCAAGAGTAACCAATGACCATATTCAATATGCACCGTAATATGCATGATACCTATCTATATCCAAAATGCAAATTTGTTGATGTATATCAACTATAATCTCTTCCATTCCCTGAGTTGTTTTAATTCTTGTACAAATATTGTGCTATGTCCATTGATTACAATCAAGTGAAACCAATTTAAAGCAGTTAAGGATCTGTCCAACTGACTCAAAAACTGTGCACAGCAGCAAACAAATCTTACACCGGAGGTTACACTTTAGTACAAATTAGAATTTTAGACCAACTCATCATAAGGGAAATTGTGCCTGTAAAGCACAGCGTGAGATAGACATCACATTATTTGACAAGACTTGTGGGGGGATTTTTTTTTAATGCTGTTAAGTGTGGCTTCAAGAACAAGAACACATTTTAGCTCATTCAACCCCTCAATCGTGCAAATTTTCTCTCATGTTTATTGACTATGATTAACTTGGATCATGATATTATTAAAATAAGAGAAGAGAGTTCTTCAGAGGTACAGGGAAACCTTGTTTTTGGTGTTCACATTTCATAACAACAATATGTATTATGAAGAACCCTCATTGGATGATAAATTATTTACCATTAATAGGAATTCTCTTAATAGTGCCACATGCACAGATCAACAGCCTTGGATCTGGATTGCTTTAAAATGACAGTGAAATGGGTTGAGCACCTTGACACAATCATGGCACCTTGTCAAGACTGCAGTACACAGCAGTACCATTTCAAACATGTATATTGAATAATATCCAGACATTTGGGTAGCACAGTGACCTGTCCAAAGTTCCGTACCTGCAGGGCCCAATTTGGAAGGTACAACCTTCTGCAATGAATATTATGTTCTAAGGATGTGAAATAACAGAGTACCATGCCAAAGAGTCTATAGACTGGGAAGTACCAGAAAAGTGAGGACAGAACAAGAAAAATGGTCTCAAGTTGCAGTGCGGGAGGTCTAGGTTGGATATTAGGAAACAGTATTTCACTAGGAGGGTGGTAAGGCACTGGAATGGGTTACCTAGGGAGGTGGTGGAATCTCCATCCTTCGAGGTTTTTAAGGCCCGGCTTGACAAAGCCTTGGCTGGGATGATTTAATTGGTGTTGGTCCCGCCTTGAGCAGGGGATTGTTCTAGATGACCTCCTGAGGTCCCTTCCAACCCTAATTTTCTATGATCTGGAATATAATCCTAGCCCCACTGAAGTCAATGGCAAAACTCCCATTGACTACAATGGGATCCAGATTTCACCCCTGGAATTTAGCTCTGATTGCAAAATCTTCCGAATGTGTAGAAATGAGAGGGGACAGCTGGTGAGGTGTTCTCCATGAGAGGCTCTTGGCTTTGCAATCGACTTTCTCCCGTGGTCTGCCTGATGCCAGATTTGATGACTTGCAAACCATACTGCAGATACCATCTTTCCCTTTGGGCAGCTGGGGAGCAGGTGACTTGGTAGGCTTGGAAAGTAGCAGGATTGTTGATGTGGTTGGGTTTTTTTAAATGTGGGCAGTCCACTAAGTTTATAGAACACACGGAGTTCACTAACTGCCTAAAATGTTCTCATTTTTGAATTAAGATTGTTGTGAAGACTCTAGAGTACTTAAATAAATGAATAGATAACTAAACAAATCAGCAAACGGTGAAACATCTTTTGATGTGTATGTGGCGCTAAACTAATATTAATCAGCAGCTTAAATAACCATTAAGGTCCAGAACCTCAGCCCCATTGATCTCCTTTTGGACCATCAGAATGATCCAAAGGGACCTTAGTTGCCAGCAGTCATCAAACCAGCGTAGCCAGCGCTACGAAGTCCCTCCTTCACCTGAAAGACTCCCTCCAGCCGTCCTTACCACCAGCCTACTTGCCCCAGGTCAGCCCCAGCATCAGCAGAAATGAACAGATGGTGTAAAAAGTACCTTTTCCTCCCTTCCCCACTAGCTGGACTAAGCCCTGTAGGCCCTCTCCTTGAAATTCTTACATACGTATCTTTAATCATGTAAGTCACTCCACTGTTTTCAGTTAAAAGATATGCAGGATCAGTCCTGGAAAAAAAAATACTTTTTTTCTGTGATTTAGACACTGGAATATTCCTGCACTAAGTAAAAATATGGCGCAATTGGAAAACAGTATTTTATTTTTAAAATAAAATAAATAAAATATTTATTTTAATTTATTTTTATCTTTATTACTGTACACAGGATTACAATTGCAGTTCTAGGACATAGTAAAGATAATATGGCCCTTTTACATTTACACAATCTTTCAGGTCCCTTTGCACTACTAGAATGTTAATGAGAATCAGGCTCAGATATCTTTCTTCTGTATTTCTGAACTGCACCCTTTCCACTTCCCACAGTTTAAACGGAACCTTTGGGGATTTTATTACAAGTAATCGTGATGATCAAAATGTATTTTCCTCTGTATTAATCTTAAATTCAAAGATTTAGCAGGGCTGCTCTGGATACACTGGAAGTAGTCCAAAGAAACACAAATTAATTGCTTGGAGCGAAAATTCAGATGAAGGTTCCACTATATGTTACAACAAAGCAGAGATGCAAATATAAATACTACAGGGTATTGTTCAGTAATTTGCATAGTCTTTCCCTCCCCCTCTCCAACCCCGCTAACAGCACAGATTGGGTGAAGGCAGCACGCTACAGAAGAACTCAGATGCTCTGGGCTCTCAGTGACTATGCAACAGTTCAAAGAAAATAGAAAAATACATGTTTAAATGGTGATTTTGCAACTACTGTTTGAGGCTGCCTTACCTATATATATATATATATAAAATTGACA